TCGTCTAGTGTTTCCAGGCGGTAGGTGATAAGTGGCATTTATGCCACTATTTAGATCCTCTAATCGCGGTATTTTTCTATGTTTGTCCCTTGTTTGTACCCCTTTTGCTCCGTTTCTCTCTTTATTATATTTTTGTGCTTTTCCTCGTGTTTTGTAGGCTTTTGGAGTTGATTTTAAGAGAATGAAGAGCTTGGAGAATTGGAGTTCATTTGAAGAGCTACAAAGGAAGTTAAGGAGCAAGCAAGCAAGGCCATGCGGACAGTGCGGGTCGCGCTTTAAGAATGGCGCGGGCGCGCCAAACCCAGCACGGGTGTGCCTTACATTGGGGTCGAAAATATTGAAGGAGGCAGAATGTAGGCGCGATTTGGGCGCGGCTTAGGCGCGGGCGCGGCTTAGGCGCGGGCGCGCAAGGGCCTGAACTCCAAAACTGACCTTTTTTACTCTTTTAGCCATAACTTTTGATCTACAAATTGGATTGAGGTGATTCAAGTTGCATTGGAAACTAGACTTGAAGAGCTTTCCAACGGTAGGTTGCACTCCCCCAGAAGCCTCCTAGAACAGAAGATATGGCCGTTTGAAAATGAATGTCGCTGCCAGGCCAATCCCAATGCGCGGGCGCGCAGGCCTCTATCGCGGGCGCGCACGAGCAGCTACGGGTCTTTTAAACGCTTCTTCCTCTCCTCTTTTTGGCCAAGTTTTGATTGTGGGTTTCTTTAGGGTTTTCTCTCTCCTCTTTGAGGGGTTAAACCCTAACATCTCTCCATCAATCTTCACATAAATTAGGCTTAGATTTAGTTTTAATCTTTGTTTTTATACTTTGTAATGTAGATTAAGAGTAATTTAGGGTAGTTTAGAGAGAGAAAGTGAAGAGCTTTAATGGAGGATTGAAGAAGATGAAGATGCAAAGTGACATTATTTTGGATTACTCTTCATAAATCTAATGAGCATTCTAAACTCTATCTCATTTATTGCTTTCTTTAATTCTTGCTTTTCTTAATTTCTTGAATGATTAGTGTAGTTGATTAGATTAATTTCTCTTCTTTGTCGCTCTTCATTGTTCTTGATTGTTGGTTTGATTTTAGATTATTTGATTATCTAGTTTTAACCATGCTTAGTGAGTAGTTCTTTTAGTTAGGGGTTGGGTGAAACTCAACCTAATGGTTATTTAAGTGATTTTGGGGGATGTCTTAGTGATTGATTGTAATTAAATTGATTATATAAGATTGCTTGTTAGTTCTTCATGATAGGAGTAGCTAACCTTGATTATTGAACTTGATGGCACGAAATGTTTGGTTTGACATGGAAATATGAGTTGAATGTTTCATTACCTATTGCAATTTGACTATGTATCTCTTGTTGCTAAGTTAATGAGGAATCTAAGCTTAGTAATATGAGTTGTTTTCTTATTGCTTGAAGTTGGTTTTACATGTAGTCCTTACTTTCTAAAATCTTTGTTACTCCCAATTTTCTTAATTTCCATGGTTAAGTGAACCCCATTCCCTAGTGTCCTTATTTCTTGGATTTTAATTCTTGGTTTGTTAGTTTTCCTTTTTATGTTAGTTCACTCATCCTATCTCTTCGACCTAGCTTAGTTGGTGGTAGTGTTGATAGTGTTTATGTCGTCTCTGTGGTTCGACCCTCTACTTCCCACTAAACTTGTTTAGTATAGGTGTAGGCTTATAAATATTGTTTGGTTGAGGGTAGTTAGTCCAACGACCTAATTATCCCTCCATCAGTAGGTGCCGCCTCTTACTTCTTCATAGATCCGGTAGGGACCTTCCCAATTGGGTGTCAACTTGCCTTGCTCATTGGCCCTACTGGTTGCCTCCATCTTGCGTAGCACAAAGTCCCCCACTTTTAAGGGTCTTTTGTGCTCTCTCGTATTGTGGGCTCTTGTCATTCTCAAACGGTAAATCGCGTGGCGTAAGGCAAAATTGCCCCGGCGTTCTGGGAGAGAGTTCAATGCTAGGCGCATGGCTTCCCAGTTTGCCTCTTAATCATACAACATGACCCGAAGAGTCGGCTCATAAAGCTCAATAGGTAAAACAGCCTCAGCACCATATACCATGAGGAATGGGGTTTCGCTGGTTGCCCCTTTTGTTGTGGTTCTGATGGACCAAAGCACATGAATTAACTCCTCATCCCATAGGCCACCAGCTCTTTCAATTTTCTTTTTAATGCCGTCTGAGATAAGCTTGTTGAAGGTTTCAACCTGGCCGTTTGCTTGGGGTCGGCCGACTGATGCAAAGCAGTGAGAGATCCCTTGGTCTCCCAGCCAATTCTTGAGGGTAGGCGTCTCAAATTAAGGGCCATTGTCAAAAACCATAGACATAGGTACCCCATACCAGGTGATGATGTTCTTCCAGATAAAAAAAAATAACATCCTTTGTCTTGATGCCCTTGACAACCTCAGCTTCCACCCACTTCGTGAAGTAATCAACAGCCACGTTACTAGGATATATCGTCGTCCGCCTGACGCTGGTGTATATGGACCCAAGATATCCATGCCCCATTTGACGAATGTTAGTGGGCTATGAATTGTCGTCAGATCAGTTACCGGACAGTGGATGAGCTTGCCAATTCTTTGGCACTTGTCACACTTCTTCACCATTTCCATGACGTCTGCTTCTAGAGTCTGCCAGAAATATCCTTTCCGCCTAGCTCTTTCTGCTAGAGCTCTTCCACCTATATGTGAGGCACAATAGCCTGAATGTAGATCCTCCAAAATCTCATACCCCCTTTCTAGGGTGATGCATTTCAAAAGAGGCAACATAAAGCCCTTTTTGAAAAGTTCTCCATTGCGAATCTCGAAGTTGGCCGCACGTTTTTTCATTGCAACCATTTATGGATATGTATCCGGCAGAGTGTTGTCTAGCTGATAGGCCCGGATGCCGTCCATCTAGGTTGAACTTCGGTCAAGTATTCCAATGGGATTTTCTTCGATACTTCGTTTTTCCATCACTTCCCAAAAAACTAACCGAGGTGTATCACAGGAGGCGGATGATGCCAGCTTTAACAGAGCATCCGCCTGATTGTTTTTTGACCTAGGCACTTGACTTAGGTGGAATTTGTCAAGGGTCCCAGCCTCTGTCCTGACCGCCTGTTAATATTTTAACATAGCCGAATGGGTGGCCTCATAGTCACCATGGTATTGGCTAACGACCAACTGTGAATTAGAGCAAGCGTCAATTTTCTTTGCCCCTGTTGCGTTACACATGCGTATACCGGCTAGCCGGGCTTCATACTTGACCTCGTTGTTTGAGGCTTGAAACCTGAACCATAGTGCATATTCATATTTGTCCCCTTCAAGATACTGACATATAATCCCTGCACCATAGTCGTTCATGGTAAAGCTCCCGTCTACATACACTTTTCAAACCTGATCAAGATTTTCCGGTTCAACTGACCGTGTCATTCCAACAATGAAGTCGGCGAACGCCTGACCCTTCACTGCCTTCCTTGGTTCAAAAGTGATTTCAAGGCTCTACATTTCGATAGCCCATTTGATCATTCGGCCGAATGACTCTAAAGTTGTCATTGGCCGCTTGAGGGGTTAGTCTGTATAGACTACCATCGGATGTGCCAAGAAGTATGGTTTTAACTTCTTGACTGCCATGAATAGGGCGAGACTAAATTTCTCTACCATTGAGTACTAGATTTCTGCATTTCGAAAGACATGGCTAACGAAATAGATCGGGAGCTGATTGTCGTCTCTCTCGGCAAGGAGAACAACACTAAGAGCATGATCTAAGACGGCTTGGTACATATAAAGCATCTCCTTGGGCAGAGGGCTTACAAGTTTTGGAAAGGAATGCAAATGTTCTTTCAATTTTTGAAACGCCGCCTCAGCATCATCCCCCCATTCAAACATGGTTTTCTTACGGATGGCTTGGAATAAATAGAGGCACTTGTCACCTAACCGGCTGAGGAACCTCCCCAATGCCGCCAGGCAACCAGTTAATTTTTGTACTTCCCTGATAGTGCGGGGTGACTTTATGTCAATAACCTCCTGTATCTATCTCGTTTTTCCTTTATCCCCCTTTGATCAATTAAAAATTCAAGAAACTTCCCAAACTCAACACCAAAGACACACTTCTTCGAATTGAGCATGACCTTGTGCCGCCTAAGTGTGATGAATGTTTCTCAGAGGTCAACAAGATGATCCGTCTGTAGCTTGGATTTGACTATCATATCATCAATGTATGCCTCTAAATTCCTACCAATCTAGTTGATGAAGACCATATTAATCATACATTGGAATGTAGCAGACACATTTTCAAGCCAAACGACATCACAATATAGCAGAATAACCCCTGATTAGTGACGAATGTCGTGTTTTCTTGATCTTTCTTCCACAAGGGTATTTGATGAAAGCCTGAGTAGGCATCGATAAAGCTCATCATGGCATGTCCGGCTATAGAGTCGACTAGACTGTCGATCTTTAGAAGTGGGTAACTGTCCTTTGGACATGCCTTTTTCAGATCTGTGTAGTCCACACACATGCGCCATGTTCCATTTGGCTTCTTCACAAGAACAACATTTGCTACCCAATTTAGGAAGTAATGTTGCCGAATGAACCAAGCGTCTAAGCTTCTTAACCTCGGCGGCTGCCGCCTGACTACTCTCCTCGCGGTGATTTCTCTTCTTTTACCTGATAGGCTTCTTTTTTGGGTCAATGACGAGTTTATGGACAACAAGATCCGAGCTGATACCAGGCATCACTAGTAGAAAAAGGGAAATGTGCACCGGTTCAAAACTGGCTTTTCGCACCGATTTTGAGCCGGTTTAGATTTGAGGGATGCGAATCAGTGAGATTATTCGCACCGGTTCAAAACCGGTGGTAATAACAGTTATTAGCACCAGTTCGGTTCAAAACCGGTGCCCTTAATGTCCCAAAAAAACTTATAAAAATATATATATATTTTGCATTTTTTTCTTTTAAATTGATATATAAACACTAAAATATATATAAAGTTACATATTTTCATTAAAAAGGCTGTAATATTACAATTTTCATCTAAAAAAATAATGTAAAATAAAATACATGGTTACACACAAATAAAATAAAATAAAATTCTGTATATGGGAAACTTTCATCTAAATTACCCTTTAACTTCACCAAATCCACCTACACACAAAGAAAAACATATGCAGCTGCACAACAGCACGAAAGCAGCAGCACAACAGCACAAAAGCAGCAGCATCACTACAGCATAGAAGCAGCAGAAAAGAATTTCATAGTAGAAGAACATCAGCATTATCACTCTCCATTCCTTCCATCCTCCACTATCACCCTCCATTCCTTCTTTTGTGACAACTTAACGATTTGAACAAGAAGCTGAAAACAGTTCAAACCAGAGATAATGACTATAAAGAAAAAGGCTGCATTATTATGGATGAACTCTAGCATAGCAAAAGTACAAGCAGCATCTCTAGCAGAGCAAAAGTAGCAGCATCAAGGGTGCACTTTAGGCAACAGCAAGGAAGCTAGGCAGAAGGTTCAAGGCATTCAATAAAGACAAAAACACATCTCAGAAAATCAAATCCAAAACCCAAAATTTAAGCTCAGAATGCAAGGTATAATAATAATGAAAGATGCCCAAAATTTAGAATGGCTGAATGTACATGCCTTTATTATTAACAAAGTAGCCCTCCAAATTACAATAAGGTTTCCCATAAATACTATAAATGACAACTAAATACATTATCAAAACTTAACTTCTGATTCTTTCGATGTAAACCATTAATTTACTTTGAGCCTAAATCAACAAGTTTGTATAATAATATTTCAATCATAACCTCAAAACTGAACACCTCTAAAGTACAAGTATATACAGGAAAATAGCCTAATTTCTAACCACTAAAACCCCAAGAATACATGTCGATCCGCAATATCTTGTGGTAGTTTATCATATATCAACTACTAAAATGTGACTGAGATTAGTAGAAAAATAGAGTACAACAAATAAATTACAATAAACAAGCAGTTTTAGCACAAAATGATGAAACAAAGTAATCCAAGCCAGACAATCATACTTGATGCACATTTTCACCTTCTCTATGTAAAGAATTTTCTTATTTTGATTCCTCTGCGGCATGCCCATATAGCATTTTCCATACTTTCACCACTGAGGAAGAATTTCAACAAGAATCCACAAAGAGGTATGGCACACTTAGTAGAAGCTTCACACCAGTCCACATTCATATAAACTACCCATCAACTAGACAACAACCAAGCTAGTACTCTTTCAATTCAGCCACAACAGCAAATTTTAGCGCATTCAAAGTAGACACAAATCAATAATACTTGAGCAAGCAAAGCAGATTAATCGAATCCTACAGCAAACTATACAAAAGACTAATTGAACTAAACAAACTAAACCAACAACACAACCTCACAACCATGCAAACAATCAACACAAACTCACAACCATTCAAACAATCAACACAAAGAATTCACAAAATCAAACGAACATCAACCTGAGCAACAAAATCTTGCGCAGTAATCAACTCCTACATTACATGCAATGCAATCACGCAAAACCTTACATTCATGCAACCAAATTTCCAACACTTAACAAATTAAACAAACATTTACAAACAACAAAACCCTAGAAATAAAAAAATAAATCAAATTAACAATCAGAAAAAGGAAAGTATACACATACCAATAACTAAGAGTAGAAACCAGGTCGACTTTCGGACTGAGAAATCGTAGTTTTCGCGATTTCCGAACAGTTTGTTCGCGCTGAGAAAATTACCGAGCAATTAATACGTCATCGAAAGGTCTGAAGCAGACAACGCCATTGAAACAAAGCAAAGGCAGAACAGCAACATGCAGTCGAGTGTAAAACTCAATTAAACCCTAAAAGAAACAAATCCATTAATGTAAAGCAACCCAGATTTAAAATAAAAAAAAAAACCAAATTAAAAAAATCCTAAAAAGCAATTTCATACCTGCTGCTGCTTTTGAGGGAGAAGCTGGATGCCATGGATTTGAAGCATCAGATCGAACCACGGAAATTTCAGGAGGACTCGAGAAGAGATAGAGAGATGAAGTGGGTTGGCGGATCACGACCACCGTCACCATCATCACCGTGAAGAATGAGGAGAGAAAAGAAATAAAGAGATGGAGTGGGCTGGCAGTGGAAGGGGTGGCGGTGGAAAACCCAGATAAAGAGAGAAGAGATAGAGAGAGAAAGGGAAAGGGAAAGGGGGAGCGAGAAAAAAGAGAGAGAAAGGAGGACGAAGAAGGATTAAAGCTTATTAATTATTAAGGGAATAAGGGCATCGGTTAACCGCTGCCCCTATTTACTATACGTGGGTTTTTTTTTTAATTATTAAGGGCATCGGTTAACTAGTGCCATTTTAAATTTATTGGGTTTAGCTTGTGTTTTTCGCACCGGTTTTTGAAAACCGGTGCTCATTTGTAGGTGCACATTTGTGTTTTTCTACTAGTGCATCTTTTCCACTTCAAAGGCAAAAATGTCCTTGAATTCTTTCAGCTGCAAGTCTGCCCCCAAATTTACAAAGGCAATCGTCCCCACCTTAACAATTCGCTCTAGACGTGGGTCGCCTAGAGCGATGTCGATGTGCTCACCAGCCGGTTGGGACGGAGTTCATCTGAGCGTTCCGCGCTCAATGATTGCTATTGCATCTCTTTCTTGACAATCACTAGTTGGTCGGCCTTTCACTTCTTGTCGCCTGCTGGTGGGACAAACTTTGATTCCTTGACATCGTCAAGGTCTATTGGCTCTGCATCCCGACCAATGGTCGTGTGTTTGACTCTCAGAAATAGCACTCTCGATCCATCTTCTGATCTCCGTTCAAGGAGCCAACTGAACCATCATCCTTCTTGAATTTCAGTAGGCATGAGGGAGGGGATAATGACGGCCTTAGATTCGTTCAGAGTCGGACGGCCCAAAATGACATTGTAGGCGATCAGCTCTTCCATAACCAAGAACCGGATAACCATGTGACGGCCCTCTCCCTTCTCTCCCAGCCGGATGGGTAGATCAATGCGGCCGACTAGGTGCACAACTCCACCCCCAAAACCAACTAAGGGGTGAGTGCCTGTGTGCAAACTGCGTGGTTTGTACATACTATAGCTTGGAAAGACATCGCCAACTGATGATATCAGACGAATTGTCGAGATTGGTCAACTGTTTGGTTAGCCACCTTGCATTCAATGACTGTGGGTCATCATGCGGCCGGCGGACTTCGCCTCGGTCCTTCTTAGAGATGACGACCTCAGGAAAGGTATCGGCAGACGTCTGGCATTCATCGACCAAGGTGACATTCATTTGTCTGACATGGTCCTTGGTGCCTCTAATAGTTGGACCACCGGAGGCAAAGCCGCCTACAATGTCCAGATCTGCGTCCAAACCACTATCAGCCTTTGCTGACTTTTTGGATGGCTGCCTGGGGTCCGTCTTCAAGGTCACCTTGGACTTGAGAATATAGAATTTCAGCACTCCTTTGTCAGCCAATTTATCCAACAACCGCTTGAAGCTATAGCAGTCATTGGTGTCATGGCTAATATCCTCATGGAATTGACATTACTTGTCCTTATTTCGGTTTTTTGCCGGACCTTTCATCGCCGAGGGCTTCTCAAGCACCACCCGGTCTTTGATTTCCATGAGGATGGTGTAGCAATCTTTATTAAACTTGTACCTAGGGGTGTATAGTTTAAACTCTTTCTTTTTCTTTTTGGACGGCTGATCAGAGTCCTCAACCGCCCAAACTTCTTTTCTCTTTTTGCTCTCTTCATCTTTTTGAGCTGGCTGATCTTGCCGACTCCCTTTTTGTTTGTCAGACTTCTTTGTGTCCGACTGCTTATTGTTGGAGCAGAGCTTAGTCACCTGGATATAAGCCTCTGCCTCTATCAACGCTTCTCGAAGAGTAGAGATTCTCTTCCGAACTAGGTCAAACTTAAAAGTCGACCCGTCCTTCAGACCCTTGAAGAAGTCTGTATAAGCAACATCGCTAGATAGCCCTTGAATCTGGATTCTCACCAGATTAAACCGCCTAATGTAAGAACGGAGCCCCTCCATGTCTCCTTGTTGTACCACGCTCAAGTCGAGGCTTGTCTTCTTGGCGGGTATGTTCATAGAGAAGTTAGAGGCAAATAGGAACGCAAGCGTTCTAAAATTATTTATGCACCCAGATGGCAAGTTACCGAACCACTGTTGGGCAATGCCCTTCAGTGTAGCTGGGAAGCATCTACACCAGGTGGCATCATCCAACTCCTACAAGTACATGAGGTTGGTGTAGGCCATCAGGTGGTCTTGTGGGTTGGTGGTGCCATCATAGGCACCAACCAAGACATTCTTAACCTTGGCCAGTTGTGCCGCCTCGGTTATTTCCTTGGAGAATGCAAAGGGTTGTTCTCTAAGTTTGAGCAGACGTAGCTACCAGTCCATGGGGCCAGACTTGATATACCGCCTGACCTCTGAAGAGGGCAGGTTCCTGATAAGGTTGGGAAAACGACCCGTATGTTTGGTGGGGCACATACGGAACCGAGGCTATCATTTGAGGACCTGTATGGCAGACTGGCAGCCTAACAGGTGCTTTTCTGCAGATTGGGAATACCTCATTGAGGTATTCTTGAAGCCGTCTGGCATTGTCGGCATTGAAGTCGTGTCAGACAGTTGACTGTTCCTATGTGCTCGATGAAATGTCGAGCATCAATGTAAGTCTTTTTGCTTCCATCCGGCTGCACATGTCGGATGGCTTTCTCTGGATTTCCTTGGGAGATGGAGTTTACTCCAATCAATAAGGGGTCGGTGCCCCTCTTTATGCTTGAGATGCGGATTGGGCCGCCTGTCCTTGATGGGCTTTGTCTTCCCAGAGTGAGAAGGTTTCTTAGCCGACTGTCCTTTGCTAGGACCAGCCGTCTGGGTCTTGATGAGGTCTCTCATCTCACCTTTGAAGTTCATCATAAACTTGACAAACTCCTCACGAGTGATGTGAGCATTCTGTCCTGTAGTCTGAGGCTGGCTGACTGTCTTGCTCGGACCTGCCTGGTTATTGCCCTGCTCCCCTTTATCTTTTTGGCGGATGCGCTTAGAGATGAGGGATCCATCTTTGGCCGTGTGAATTTCAACCTCTGGATCCGAATCTGTATCCTGGTCCGAATGGACCTGTACTGACGGATGCTTTTCCTCAAGAGGCATTGCAGTCTCTTGAGAAACCATCTTAGAGGTACTCTCCCCACTGACGGCGCCAAATGTTTCAGGGTTTTTTACAAGATGTCCTACGTGAGAGTTACGTCACCAAAACTGGTTCATCGTTCGTCTGTATCTCTAACAAACGGAAGCTCCGATTGTTCGGAGTTCCGCCTCCGACGATCAAGTTAGTACGTGTTCGGAGAGTAAAATGCGAAAAGTAAGTAAATCTTCTCGGATCCCGAGATCAGGTGATTTCTCTGTTGTAAGAGAATAGTAAATGATGTAATAAATGTTTGTGTCCCCAAAATGGGGTAAATGTCCCTATTTATAGGAAATTGGGATTTGTGCCCTTACGTAGGTCTAAATGACCTACGTTTGATGGGTTGCACCGTTTTACGGCGCCTCAGGAAATGGGCTTGAGAAGGCCGTCAATTCCCTTTAGGCTCCACAGGCCACGTGTCATGTCCTGGTTGCCTTGTTAGAGCATTTCGAGGGGAAACGTGTCGTGCTCTTATTGGACCACGTGGCTGGGTAAAATTACCCAAATCACTAGGTATCATCACAGACCACCAGTGCAAGCAGTAGGTCATCATAAGCACAGGGCTACAAGGTAACAATGGAATATCAAGGGCACAAAACAACAATGCATTATCAATGTAACTAGGCAACAAGGCATAATCAAGGCAGTAAGGCAACAATGTAATATGAAGGCAACAAGTAACATTTGAAGGCAACAAGTCATAATGGAGGCAACAAGGCAAATAGAAGGCAGCAAGGCAACAATGCATTATCAATGCAACTAGGCAACAAGGCAAAATCAAGCCAACTCAATGTGTAATAATTAAAGTAAGGCATTACTAATTCCACAATTCAAAAACTAACATTTCAAATTCCAGATCCATACATGTGAACTAATTCGGCTTTCCATACTTAGATTTAAATAACACAAGGCAAAATGCAACTTAGCTCTATGATTCATTATCAGAATCTTTTGTAAGGAACTTAGGCTTCTTAGAAGGAGAGCAACCACCATCATCATCATTAGAATTTGAGAAATCAGAATCAACTTTGTCATAACTTCTTGGAAAACCCTGTTTTCTGGCTTGCCTTCTGTACCAATTATGAGGCCAGTAGTCAGAATCTGCAAGTGGCATGCCTTTTGGGACAATACCAAACAACCTGATTCTCTTAGTCTCATTGTTGTAACTGTGCTCCCCGTTACACCAACTGCCTAATTCACAATCACGATCAGTGTATTGGTATGTCTCGGAGGTATAGTGTGATTTGAAATCAGTATACAACAGCCTGTCAAACTATGAACTAGTTTGCTTCTCCAAGGGGACTTTGGTAGAAGATTTGGTTGGAGATTTGGCTCGTTTATCAACCTCATCCCTACAAGCCTTCTGCTTTCTATACATTTCATAGTTGTGGGTGTAATGAGAGTGTGATTCATCTGAACCAGGGGATTGACTCATAATTTGTGCATGAACAAACAATACACCTAATCAATCCAGTATCACATGTAGCTCACAAAATGTAGCATCATTACAACACCTCAAAATGTAGCTCACACATTACAACAAATCAACATGATAGGAAGACATGATAGGTATTCAAAAGTTCAAGAAGGAAAAGGGACATGAAAGGAAGACATTCAAATAGATTTATTCACGAAAGCACCCATGAACCCTTCATTTCTGTTTCAACCATGAAACATTCAAATGACAGGATCCACAAATTACATGCTACAAGGTTGAATTACCTAATTGAGCACTCATCAAGAAGTACAATTAGAGTATTCAAAATTAACAATAACCATCATCAATCATTTACCATAATCCACAAATTTAACAACAATTATGCCAAAAAAAAAATCAAACAAAAAAAAACCCTAACCCCATAACAAACTCATAAGGCAATGATTTAAATCAACCAAACAGTACAAAGTAAACAATCTAACAGCCATTAAAATTAAAAAATAATAATAATAAAAAAAAAATAGTTTAAATTAGAAACCATAACCATTCAAATTTTCACACCCAAATACATCGACAATATATTTTACACTACCAAGTAACAAATCATACTTGAAAACAACAAAAAAAAAAAAAATCGAACAGAAAGGGGAGAATAAGAATACCCTTGGGAAGAAAATGGACATATTTGCGTTTTTATTTTTTGGGGGGGGGGGGGCTTTGCTTCGCAGGCCCTATGCAAACACCGATCTGCAACTCGATATTCCAAATCGTCACTGGAAATCCTTGAATTTAGGAGAGAGAAGAAGAAAAAACTAGGGTTCTTCAAAAATTTAGGTGAGAGAAGAGAAAAAAATGAAGAAAGAGAAAGAGGGGACACAAAATATTAATGCCAGCGGAGAGAAGAATAGTGTAGAAATTTAGGAGAAAGTGGCATAAGAATCTGAGGAAATTACGAGGGTAATATGGGAAGGACAGAGGAAATGGAAAAAAAATAAGAGGGTATTTTGATAAAAATGAAATATTAATGGTACTTGAAAAAAGCACATGGGACTATCATTTTGGGACTTAAAATTGGCCATAAGGGACTATCAATAAGGGACAAATTATATTAAATATTGATTGTTACTATTACATTTTTCTAGGGACTTCCACATTTGAATTTTAATTACTACCTCCGTTTCATATTTTTTGCAACTTTTGCCAAAAATGGATGCTATACATTATTTGCAACTAATGTTTTCTTTCCTTTTTAGGTTGTCATTTCTCTCTATCCCTCTCCTCATCATATGCATTCCTATTTTTCTCTCTCTATCTTACACTCACAAACAAATTTTGCCTAGGAATTCGTGCACCCTTCAAAGTTGCAAAAAATGTGAAACAAAGGTAGTACCATTAATTTAAAATACCAAGCATGGCTTGAATGTTATCTAGTTAATACTATTTTAAGAAATATTTTAAGTTTATCTGCCTAGTAATAAGCTAATAAATAATACTACATATTAATTTTTAAATAGTTATAGCTAGTAGCCTACCATTGTAGAGCAACAAGGAGTAAAATACAATTTTGGGGATTAACCTTTCGTATTTTTCATCATTTGGGGACTCTACTTTCACTTTTCATCGTTTGGGGATCGCTGGTGGGTATTAAATGGTTTCCGGTGATATATTTTTATTTTTTTTATTATAGCTGCCTTCATAAATAGGTTTTTTTAAGTTAAATAAAAATTATGCTTATATTTCTTCCAAATAAAATAAAGAAAATTAATTTAAATAACCCAAATTAGACTAAAGTCAAGCAACTTTGTTTTCTCTTCTCAAACTGAACGCTGCCATAGGAGACGAAGAGGTTCTTCACAGAACGCTGCCATAGGAGACGAAGAGATTCTTCACAGAACATCCATTACTCTTAGGTATAGGTATGTATCTATGTGATTTTGTGATTTTTTTTCTTTTGGGAATTAGATGACTTTTCTTATCATTGGCTATGCATGCAATTGATAAGGGTTTAAGGTATTGTTTAGATGTTTGAATTTTTTTTGGAAAAAATGTTCAATATATAAGCGATTATGTGTGATATATGACAGATTAAAGGTAGTTAATATGCTTATCCCCCTATTTTGTGGGCTAGGGTTTTGTGGTTTGAAAAACAGAGTAAAAAGAGGTTGAATTTATATGCTTAGAATCTAAAATTGTTCCATATGTCAATATATTGATAATTTATACTCTTTTTATCTTATATAAATAATAGGTACTTATTGATATGAACCCAAAACCTTGCATTGTTGTTCATCATGGTGGATGTTAGAAGCCAGTTCATGGTGTTATGGAATATGATGGTGGGTTTACAAATATATTTGATGATGTGGCTGAGGGTTTTAATGCATCACATCTTAAGACGTTAATATCAAATTTGGGGTACACTAATCTAAGCAAGTTGCATTATTTGGATCCTAGAAAATCTATGCTTGATGGTATTAGGTACCTTGGATATGATGATGCTACCTTTGATCCTTTCATCAATCTGTTGGTTGAATATGGTATGGTTCATATTTATTGTGAACATGAAGTAAGAAATAATCTTGAACCAAACTATGTTGCTGATTATATTTTTGATGAAGAGTTATATATGGGAAGCAAAATGACCTTTACAGAGTTGTTACAACATGATGATGAGAGTGCTTTTAAAAATCATGTCATGCCTACAATAGATGATACTTGATTATGATGAAAATGGCAGTGATATGGATGATGATGAGGTTGTTGCAGCTATAGAAAAAGTAGGAAAAGCTAGGAAGATTGATAAGGACTATGAAGAAGAACTTAGACAACTTAAAAGAGTGGCAGAGAACAAACGAAAGCAACCTGCTGAAGAAGTAGATAGTGAATACGAGGACTCTACTGACTTGGATAGTCCTGATGATGCATCTGATGAGGAAGATTGTGGGTATATAGTACCTGTTCCGACTAAAATTAAAAGATCTTCTACCTTCAAGAAATACAAACAAGGGACAACACCTCAAGAGACTAAGTTTTACATCGGACAAGAGTTTGATAATGCTCAACATTTGAAAAAAGCAATTACAGACTACTGCATTTTCATGGGAGAGATGTGCATTTCACTATGAATAAAAAAGATAAGATCGGGGCTGAATGTAAATCTCAAGGTTGTAAATGGAGACTTTGGGCGTCTTGGGCTGCCGGTAAAAGAACATTTCAGATAAAGACTCATCAGGCGGAGCACATTTGTGGTAGAAAGAACAAGGTGCATTGATTTCCTCTTCATGGGTTGCTTCAACTTATGCAAGTAAGTTTAAGATTAACCCTTACATGAGATTGCGAGAGATTGTAAAGCATGTATGGTGTGATTGGGGAATAAAGATTTCATCGTGGTTAGCAGTTAGAGCTAGAATAAAGGGACATGCTTTGATTCTTGGTGAGTACAGAGAGCAATATGGGTTATTACATAGATATGCACTCGAGATTTTAAGAGCAAACTCTAACAACACAGTTATTTTGAAATTGAACAACCAAGAATTTCAACGTGTGTACATATGTTTTGAAGCATTAAGAAATGGATTTCTTAATGGGTGTAGACCATTTATTTCACTAGATGGTTGTTTTTTGAAAGGTCCATTTGGTGGACAACTTTTAGTGGCCGTGGGGAGGGATGGAAACAACCAAATGTTTCCTATTGCATGGGCTGTTGTAGAGGTTGAAAGTGGTGATAGTTGGCGTTGGTTCTTAGAATTATTATCACAAGACCTAGGTACGACTAGTGGTGTAGGGTATACCATAATGTCAGATCAACAAAAAGGTTTGATTCAAGCTATTAGTGAGATATGGAATCAAGCAGAAGTCAAGTGTTGTGCTAGACATGTGTATTGTAATTTTAGGGATGTGTTTGGTGGGGGGCAAGAGCTTAGGCAATGGTTCTGGAGGATTGCAAAAAGTACAACTGAAAATGTTTTCCAAGCCAACATTGAAGCATTCAGAAAAGTTTCAGAGGCTGCTGCAAATGACTTATTGAATAGGAATTACAAGAAATGGTGTAGGGCATTTTATACACCACAATCTTGTTGTGATAGCATCGACAATAATATGAGTGAGGTCTTCAATGCATATATACTTAACTCTAGGCATAAACCGATCATTACTATGTTGGAGGACATAAGAGAGAGTTTAATGGAGAGATTATTCAAAAAAAGAGATTTTATTGGAAAGAAAGAGTGTTACATTTGTCCAAGAATTCAACAAAAATTGGAAGAGAATAAGTTGAAGTCAAGGGGGTGGTCTGCATTTTGGGATGGAAGGTTTAAGTTTGGAGTGAGAGATGGGATCACTCAAACGAAATATGTTGTTGATCTAAGAGATAGAACATGTAGTTGCAATACATGGCAACTTAGTGGGATCCTATGTAAACATGCAATTGCTGCCATTTGGAAGTCCGTGGAACATCCCGAGCAGTATGTTGCAAGCTCTTTTACCAAACCAGAATATTTGAAGGCATATGATTATCCTATGGAGCCTTTAAATGGACCTAATGAATGGCCAATATGACAAGCTGAACCAATTTTGGCCCCTCCATTTAAAAAGGTTAGAGGTAGACCGCAAAAGGCAAGGAAAAAACAGGTCGGGGAAGTTACTAGCAATGGTAAAGTGAGGAAGATTGGCATGATTATGAAATGTAGTGTATGCGGAGAGCAAGGGCATAACAAAAGAAGTTGTAGCTCGAGAACTGAATTACCACATTTAACTCAGCCACCCACACAACTTCAACATAAAGGAAAGAAGCAAATACCTTTTCAAACTGCTACCGGATGCTCAGTAAGTTCATTTGCTTGTTTCCTTGAAAAATCCACTTAATTATGAAGCATATGTACAATATTTTTATGATCATATTTATGTTTTTATGTTTTCCTTAATTATAAGCATGTGTATAATATGATGATGATTATAAATAATTATGTTTCTATGTTTTCCTTCCTAGATTAATGAACCAAGGAGGCAAGCTGCTTACTATACTAATTATGGTGGAGAGCAAACTTTACAGTCAACTACTGTAATACTTGACAACAACCAGCAATCAAAATCAACTCAAGGGAGCATTTCATCATCAAATCATAGCTTTATTTCTCTGAATGGCAGAAATTACATAACAATTCAAGCACTACAGGTATCATTTTCTTACTTTTTTGCTCCACTCATGTTAATTCATTATAAAGTTTAAACAATATGCTAATTGATAATCAATTTTTTAATCAAGGATGTGGCTAACAGAAATATTGGACCTTACAGTCATAGTCTCAATCAATGATTTGAGAAGTTACATAATAAATCAAACTCAAGGTAAACTCATTGGCTCTACTCATATTAAGATTGTATTTGTGTTGTTCGTATGCTTTTTTTTTATATATTTTTTTTATTTTTTTATTTTTTGGTTAAAAGAAGATATGTGTTACAATATACGCTATTTTTTTAATCAGAATATTATTGTTTAAAAATTCTCATTACCTTTTTTTTCTTTTGTTGCAGAAAATTTGAATATTCCGGGGTTATCAAGTTATAATTGAACATTTCTTTTGCTATGTAATATTTTAGAGAGCCAAAGACTCTTTAATTAATTTTATATCAAATATTATATCCAGTTGGTTTTAAAAAAAATAGTATTATATCCAGTTACAATAACTCTTTGATGGTTGTAATTAACATATTTAGGAAGTTTTGTAATTAAGTGGCCGAATTTATAATTCCGGTGACCGGCAATCCCCAAATGATGAAAAGTGAAAGGTGAGTCCCCAAATGATGAAAAATACGAAAGGTTAATCTCCAAAATTGTATTTTACCAGAGCAACAAGGGTTGTAGATTTGGTGAAACTACATAGCTCTACAAAGCTATATAGTACGTAGTTTCACACTTTCACTACACCTAAAGCATGTGTTGTTCACTTTGAATGAATAAATTGTTTGTGATTTTTTTTTTCCATTTATTTTCTCCTTGTCTACTTTACAAAAGATAGCATGTCATTGCGGAGGTTATATCTTAAAATTGATATAGTTTAAGAATAATGATGTGACAACCCTAAGCTACCAGGAATGTACCTATTCATAGTGGACGCTCTAAAACAATAAGGAGTATTAATTTGCGGAAATAGTATCCGAGCTTTTAATTAAAGTATTTAGACATGGCTACCTCACATTCAAAATTACTGAAAAATTTAAATTACTAGGTGTCAAAAATCAATCTATACTTGTCTCAAGTTTCAATCAATTATCTATCCAAAAAAAAAAGGGAGTTTCAATCAATTTAACATATTAGCCACAAGCTCACATTGCACCAAGTAAATTGGATTGCGAATTCACTGTTAAAGTTGATTAGGATCAAAATACCCTAGACACGTGGACCACTCAAGTCGTGACATGTGTCACCTCAAGAGTAGTCCCTATGGGACCAATCAGGGATAGACACGTGGCACCCCTCATCATTGGGGAAATGACAGCCTTCAAGGGCCCAAATCCCGAGGCATCGTAAAAACGGCGCAGCCCAATTATTTAGGTTAAATAACCTATGATAAGAGCACGCACTTCCATGCCCTATAAATAGGGACATTTATTACCTTGGGAGACACAAATCTCGAGATCCGAAAATATCTATTTTATTTACTTTCCGCATATATTACACTCCAACCGGTACTAACTTTAACGTTAGAGGCTGAACTCCGAACAACTAGAGCTTCCGTATGTTGCGGGTATAGGCGTCCAAGAATTTAGCATTAGAGTTGTAACTCTCCCGCAGGACAAATCAGAAGACCCCAAAACAAAAGTAATTAAGCATCCACCCATTGCAACAATTTCAGTCAACCACAAGTGCTTAGAAGAAGCAATTTTTTTAATTTTTTTTAGGCCTATGTTAAACTAGATTTTTTTTTTTTTTCTCTTCTTTTTAATTGACGGAAAAATGCTTCAAAGATCAACCATCAATGGTGGTTGATACTCCAGCTCCTCAAGGTATAAGACTCCTCAACTCCTCAAGGTATAAGACTAATTATTGTCATTCATAAAATACCTTTTTAAAGAGTGATATAATGCATTTTACATGAATTCTCCAAAAAATTGTAATAAATGAGAATAGTATGAATCAGACAGATTCCCAGCAGAGCAATTAATTAAAGATCTAACAGTAATAGCTGCCAGCTGATGTAAAATCCTCTCCTTCAAGCAATATAAGCAAACTCTCTTCATAACTGAGATTCATGACGATGAGAGCCAGCATGAAATCCTTCTGTATAAGCCGTACTCTTATAAAGCATCTGTAGAAAGAAAGAAACCCCTTGCAATAAGTTTGAATGTATCAGAAAGATGTTTCTGACTAACTGATGCATAAACAGACTGTGAACCGGTATGCATTTATTGGCGAAAAATTATTTTGAAGAGATGATATGATAAACAAGCAGCATGAAACTGATGTATGTGCATTTCATAGTGCGTCTGGTTTTTCTCACCAAATGAATGCCCAATATCAATTTACTGATGTGGAAATAAGCATCTTACAGTAAATAGCATATATGCTTTTGAAGGAATTATTATGAACCATTATGGTAGATCTAGACTCCCACCTTCAGATGTATTCAGTCAAATTCACATTAGACTACCAACAAATATAGTATACATGCATTTTTGCTCTGGATATCTTTCAGTACTTTGAATTAGACACATTACAATATAAATAAATTAAGGGGGGGAACATGATACAGTAGTATTAACAAACCAAAGATGACCAACTTCAAAGTCACAATACATGACATTTAGAGATAAAGAGAGGGATAAGTCATTGAAGATAACTTACAGCTAGGTGGCTCAGCTCTGAGGAAAGACATTTTCGGATATTGTCAGATGCTACAGCTCCAAGCTGTTCTCCGTGCATTGATATTGTCTCCTTGTTAATCTTAATAATGAAGACATTAAGTTTGAATCCAATATAATCTTTCTATGATGTATTGGTAAATCAGAAAGTACCCACCTCAGAAAGTATTAGAGCAGAAGTTCTATCCAATATTTCATCCACGAAAAACTGGGGATTAGAAAAAGGTGTTGATGCAGCTGCGTTTGCAGTTTTACCTTTTGCCGGCTTGTTCTTTACAATTTTCTCCACGGCAGGCTTCTTTACAGCTTTGCCTAAATCAAAAGACATTAAAAAAAGCTAATTAGAAACAAATAAAAATACAAAGATCATATGGCTTTTATTCCTAACGCACGGGCTATTAAATATATAAAATCTACTACTATAAAAACTCAAAAGCAATACATGTTAGCATGACACATGGAGCCATTACTTGGCAACGATATAGCACGTCTCTCTCTCTCTCTCTCTCTAAATTTTTTTTATTTGAATAAGCATTAATTTTTTTTGAGAAAAACGGGTAATTTTTAATTAGAATATTATACCTACATCACAATTGAGCCAAAACAAAATTGCACATTTAGTTCAATATATTGCAATTTGTTCAATATGCACATGAAATGACCTAGGGCATTCCCCGAGCCAATAAATTTGTACAAAGTGGTTTATATATTCCGTACATGTTACATCTAAAAATTCCTGCTTTATATTCCGTACAAAGCAGTTTTTTCGAGAGGCTAGAAAATAAGCTAAACAAAAAATTCAAGTTTGGTATTTTAATTTTAATCTATAGCACACCTCAAAGGCTCAAATTTGACCTTTTTTTTTTAATCATTCCAAGCATTATTCTTAGCTTTGTACACATATCAATTGGCAAGTCCCAAGTCAAGATATTTACTTGCTTGGTGATATTGCAATATCCTAGAGTGATTTTTCATTTTTCACATAGTCTCAATGTCCTTGATCCCTACAAGTTGTCCTTTGTGGGTAAATTAGCTGTAGAAATTTTCTCATCTCAATCGAATAGCCTGCTCCCATACTTTATAAAACACTTATGCTCCCACTCCTGATGTAGGTAACTTTTTTTGGCTTCAGATCTATAACAGAATAGATAAAATTCCCAATTTGTCATAAGTAATTTCAAAACAAAAGTCCCTAAGTATTTCTTTGGGTTGTAAGCCGTTTCCTCCACCATACCTTTATCAAAGTATCTATGAGTTAGGAATATGTTAAATGCAAGTCTAATATTTGGTATCAGAGTTAGCCCAATTATCTATATTTTGACGATGACTTGACATTTCGTACAAGCACAAGTTCCATTCTAGGGGAAGAAACATTGTGAAGATTAATTCATCCAAATGTAGGCTTTATTAGGATCAAGTATGGAGATTGTGAAGAATGGCTTTGAGGTAAGTTAATAAAAAAAAAAAAAAATTAAGAAAGCATTAGGTTCACAAGTTTAAGTTGAGGTAGCTGTCCAACTTGATAAAAATTTTACACGCAATAACAAGCAAGCAAGCATTGGATACTACTTAGGAACAAAGAGGTAGGCAAAACAGAGAAGATAGATGTGCTGTGGTATAGACTGGGAATAATTAAACTTGTGGCCAAATGACAAACTCAGCATTGAAAAACACGCCATTAAAAGTTTCAATTGTAAAAAAAAAAAAAGCAAACAAACAACAAAAAATACATCCAAATCTTGAACCACACTAGAGCAAGGAAATCATCTGGATTTTTCAGAATTAGCTACAACAGGTAGCCAGTTACCAACAAAACGGTAGTCAATTTTCACAAAAAACACTCCACCAGTTTAAATTTGAACGAGACAAGAATTACCTGTGACAAGGTCACTATTTGCTGATTGACTTTTCTGGGGAGCAGGTTCTGTGGAGGCTGATTTTGCAGCAGCTTCAGGCACAGCAATGGCATTAGACGGTGCAAACGCAGCCAAATCAGGAGGTTGGTCCTTGCCAACAGGAGGATTGGCCTGCATTCAAACACAATGTAGCTTAGCTTAGCCAAAAAGTAATCACTCTGATTCACCAACATAACCAACCAAAAGCATGAAATGCATTGTTGTCTAACCTCGAGATCAACATATGCAGGTTCTCTTCCTAGTGATTTCAGAAACTTGTCCAGGTCATCAGTAGAAAGAGCTATCACAAGTAGTAACAGAAACATCATGAAGAAACTCACACTTCTTACAATGGCCAACATGTAAACTCTCAAAAAAAACCCCATGCATATTAGTAATTTAATATTGCCAATAAAACGAAAAAGGAATGAGAATGAAACACTAATACACTACGTAGTTCCAAAGAACTGTGCACATGAACGAACCTTCCTACTTACCTATAGACATGTCATTAGATAATGGGTGGAACATAATGTGCCTCTGAGTTCTCAAACCTTGATCCAATAACAACGAGACGTGCCTTCACAAAAATATACAAAAATAAATACAAAGGTGAGTCCTTGAATTGTGCTAACGGAAAATGAGTTGTGCAACGAAATATTAAGCATTTGATCAAAAAACAAATGCCACTAGTTGTTCTCGTATCTATTTTACCGAACGGGAAAGTTGCCAAAATTTCAAAGAATTGTCCCCTAGGTATATCTGGTCAGTGTTCTACAATACAAAAAGTAGTTCAGTATGTGGTATCTGGTATGAGTACAGGATATGAGAAGGCTACCTAGTACCTAATATGATGGGGCTTTTTTGGGTCTTGCAAATATCATCACGTTATTTTGCACACAAATATATAAAGAACGACTATTATTGACAAATATACTGGTACATAATTGAAATTTTATTTTAGTTTTCTGCTGCATTTTACCAAACCACTTACAGTTGAATGTTCACTCAGGCTAGTCGGCACCCCAAAAAAAAATATGAACTCCTAATTTTTTTCAAAACAAAACAGGCTGCTCTGTTAAGCAATAATAAGGAAATTATCAGAGCTAAGCTGCCTTAGCCTCTTAGCGAGGGAAAAAAGCGGCAGACAGAAACTGCTGAAATTAACAGTCTTCCATAGCTGCCAGCTGTAAAAGTTACTCTACAATATAACTCCTGCCACCAAAGATATTATCCCAACATATCAATTATCAAGTATACCTGCAACAAGCAAGTTGAATTTAAGTATTCAACAAGCATGTAGGTCAACTCGATTTTTTTTTCAGCAAGCAAAAGCCCAATGCTTTAACATTGATCCTTCTTATTACTTGATTTTATTATTTAGGTCTAGGAATTTCAACCTAAATTCTGGATCAGAAATTAATCTTGATTTCTTATCAAAAAAAACACTTTAGTTTGTAGGATTTTTTGCTCACACATACATATACAATGGGTTGATAAGTTTAGCAAACTCAACAACATCCCAGAATGACCTAGAGCACAAATGAACAGCATTATGGACATGCAAACTGATTAAATTTTATCGAGTGATAACTCTGATAAGATAAGGCTTAAATCCTGGAAATTGAAACATAATAAAGGGAATGACCCTTTCAAATAGCTCATCAAGTACAAAGGATATTGCATTTAAATATCTAAATGAAAAAAGACAAAAACTATACCTTGCAGATTCATTCACTACTGCAAATGGAGTTACACAACCCAGTGGCACCTGGAAAAGCCAAGAAAGCATCAGCCTGGGTCCTTACCCATATTATAGTACAGTACAACTGTATTACATATATAGAACTAACAGTTAAAACTGGCCAACAATGTGCATTTTCCTCTCCGCCCTAATTGATTTCATACTTCTTTTTGGGGCAATCTTAAAAAAATTGTCTTACGATATACGACAAAGTATAACATTCAACAATAATACAAAATAATGAAAATATTATGCAATAGAACATGACTATAGGTCTAAATGCAGACACCCACCTGAAGTACTTCACCTAAGGCTTCTTCAGGCGCCATTCTTAAGCCTCCCTTGCCCAAACCAAGCCTCACAGATAAAACTGCTCAGCTTTGAAGCATGAATACTTTCATAAATAACACAAAATTCAAACAGAAGCATTATAGCAACAACATAAAAACAATGTGATGGCTACATTGGAAATACATACCTTTCATGTCTACTTTGGTTTCTGCTAGGGCAGAAATTATGTAATATCTATGTTTTTTGTCCTGCAAGTACCATTAAAACAAATCATGAAAACCCACATCAACATTATCAAGTAAAATTGAAAAAATCCACACAATTTACCTTCAGAAACAAATTTTTGCAAAATGCTCCATCTACATTAGCAAGATATTTCAGCTGAAGCAAAGAAACACCATGTTAGTTCCCATTATAATTACACAGAAGTACAATTACAAAAACAGATATTTAAAACTTACTGCCGCTTCCACCGTTAGAACCACAGGATGCTCATATTTCTCAAATTCAATTTGAAGTTCCTGTAAATGCACCATTAAATTCACTTAAATATGATTGTATGAAAGTAATTTATAATAACAACTAAAAAGTCTATTAGTATTTTTTCTAAAGCTATCATCAATACATAATTAAAAAATATGAATCAAAATTTGATCTTGAATAAGCAAGCGTCTTAAATTGCACATAATCACTAACTTGCAATATTAAAACCAGATTTCTAATTAAGATATTGAAAGAATAATTATTATAATATCCAATGATTTGATTTGTATGTAAAAAGGGCAAAAACGATAGAATAAAACCTTCAACCGATCCAGGAGCTGCTCCTTGGTATAACCCATGTTTTGCCTTCGAATATGCCGAAGCTAGTCAACACTTGGTAAAAAAATCTCAATAATGAATGCAGAAGTACAATCTACACAGCTAGAAGATTAAATTTGAGCATAAAAGAGTGAACAACGTATCTTAAAACCCTAATTTATAAGCTACTACAGTACCAACAAAACTTTAATTATACTACTGTATCATATAAAAAATCAATTGTAGTATAGCTATGATTAGCAACAATTGAATTTCATAATCAACTCAGAGATAACAAGAAATTAATAACCAAGCACATACATTTTCAGTTGCAGTATTAGCAGGTGAAGGTGTTGAATTTAACAATTTAGGGTTTAATTGTAGAATACAGAAGAAATCAAAGGATAATAGATTAGGATTTGATTGTAGTCAAGGAATCAAAGGATGATAAATAGGGATTAATGGTGTCTTACCAGTTGCAGTGGCGGAGGTCGAAGGAACTCAGGGAGAACGTAAATGCAGTTTGTAGTGTATGTCTGTATAAGTTTTTTTTTTTTTTTTTTTGAAGTTATCAAAAGATGTACTCGAGGTTTCGACTTTTATCAATGATACATCTACTTTCATTATCACCCAATCACCCATATACCTAAACTTTTCCCTAATTAACTACAGTAATTTAAACGTTAGTAAACGTTAATTATATTTAGTGCTTTCCCTAAATAATGTTGGAAAGAGCTGCAATTCCGTAATTACAGTTACTTTTTTATAAATTCCCAATATACCGTCTATATCATCATTTTTCTTTTTTTTTGTTAATTTTTTTTTGGCAAAACCGCTACTTGATGTAGCGAATTTTTAATACATACAGTACTTTTATATATATATATATATATATATATATATATATATATATATATATTAATAAAAGATAAGAAGAAAAAAAAAACTGACTTTCTTAGCTTTCTCTCTTCTTTTCCTTGATATTGTCGTTCAAACCAAAGTCCCCTTTCTCCATTGTTAATTCACACTCAAGCTTTAAAATCAAATTCCTCTCATTCATTCTTCTAAATTCATTATTCATTGCCCATCATTCTCAAAGAGTAAAGTTATGGTGGGTGGATTTCTTATTCAATTTGGGGATTAAGTTTGGGAATCTGATTTTTTTTGATTCAAATTGTTTGGGATTATAAATCACGTCGTCATCGCCATCACTACCACCGCCACGGCCACCATCACCACCATCTCCGTTACCTTTTCGTCACAAGTTTTTCGCTATTGGGTTAATTTAACTTTGTGTCAATTATGAAATTCAGATTTCATTTTTTTTTTTTTTTTTTTGAGAAAGTATGTAATTCAGATGTAACTAAATTAAGATCTGATTTTTGTTAAATTGATGTGGACTTTGGAGTATTATCAACCTTGCCTTGATCTTCTCAATTCACGGTATTCACCCTTTGATTTGTATTTGTACTCCGTATAATTACTGAGAACTCAAATAGATGATGTGGACGGTAAATTGTAATTATGGAATTGCAGCACTTTCCAACATTACGTAGGCAAAGCACTCTTTAGTTGACGGCATTTTAAAGGTTTGGAGGCTAAAAATACAGAATTACCCCTCTCATTTAATCAAACCAGAAACTGCTGAGCATTAGGCCAAGATTGCTTAGAAAAGCATTTAACAGCGATGAAGCGATTAGTTTCAATTCTTCCTTTATACAAAACATTAGGTGCTTTTTCCCCACTTTCAGAAACTATTAGAACTATCAAAAGCTGACCTGACCCGAAATACCGACCTAAACTCGATTATTAACCGACCCGTCTAAACCCGAAAAAATAATGACCCGAACCCGATATGACCCAACCTGAAACCAACCCTAGACCCGAATTAACCCGAGTATTTGAGACCCGAACCCGAACATGAGCCGACCTGGAGATGACCCGACCTGAATATAACCCGTAAAATATTGACTTGAATCGAACCCGACCTGAACCGAAATTGACCCAAACCCGTTTTAACCCGTCAAAACCCGAATTTAACCCGAACTGAATTCAACCCGACCTATTACTAACCCGATCCAAAATGCAACTCGATCTGTCACTAACCCGACCCGAAATCAACCCGACTTGTTATTCACCCGAAATTAACTAGCAATCGAGGATTACGTCATATCATTTTTTCCCCTAATTCTATGAGTTATTTTCCTATTTTAACTTATTCAAATATTTTCAATAAAATTCTCTATTATCAAATGTATAACAATTTATATTTCTCAAAAAAACCTATAAAAATTTATGAATACCACTACTTTTTGGATGCTTGTGCATTCTTTATATAATTTAGTAATGACGATTTACTAATATTACCACTTTTTAGGTGCAAGTTCATTCTATATTTCAATTAAGCAATTATGGTTTACGAATACTCTACTTTGTAGGTGCATGTGCATTAATGCGGTCAATTACGGTTTACAAATACTATTTGACCTTAGGCTTGTTTGTTTTATCTTATATTTTGTAATAAAAAAAAATCAAATAAAAAAAGTTAAAAAAAATAATAATTTCGGATAATGATTGAATTGAACGTGATAATGATTGAATGCGAGCATGAGTACATGACCATGACCCGATGATAATCTGACCCAAATAATTTACCTGTACCCGATCATGACTTGACTTGTCTGGACTCGAGAAAGTGGTGACCCGAACTAGAGCTGTTAAAAGGCTTTTATTGGTCTTTTATTTTTCTAATTTTATTATTCATTTGCCTATTTAATCTTAATTAAATGTTTTGAAAAATGCCATTTAAATGTTTAAAAAAAATGCTATTAAAAAAAAACGTGAACTCGGATATGAACTTATAAAAAATAAACAAGTTTAGATAATTTCAAATAAAATAAGTTTAGAAAAAAAAAATTATTGTATTTTTAACTTATTTAAACTAAACCTATTTTATCCGAATTTATATGAACTTATTGTATTTTATCTAAACATGTCATCTCGAATATGAACTTATCTGAAATTGTTATCCCTAAAATGAGTGAAATCAATGTGAATAGATTAGAGTAGGGTTTGAACTTATCTTCTAAAAATCTAAACTAAACCTATCTTATTGGAATTAATGTGAACTTATTATGTAGATCTTATCTAAACTTATTAGAACTTATTACCTCGAATTTAAATTTATCTGAAATTATTTCTCTTACAATAAATGAAGTAATTGATAATGATTAAACGTGAATGTCATTACATGAACTATTAACAAACCGACCCAAAAAATGTACCCGAACCTGATATGACTCGACCTGAAATCAACCCGATACCCAGATTAACCCAATATTTGAGACCCGAACATGACCTGACTTGGAAATGATCTGACCTGATTATAACCTGCAATTTTTTTACTTGAACCAAACCCGACTTGAACCCGAACATGACCCGACTTGTAATGACCCGACCTGATTATAACCCGCAAATTATTGACTTGAACCGAACCCGACTCAAACCCGAGAATGACCCGACCTGATTATAACCCGCAAATTATTGACTTGAACCGAACCCGAGGATGACCCAAACCCGTTTTAACCCATGAAAACTCAAATTAAACCCGACCTATTATTCACCTGACCCGAATGTAACCCAACTTATTATTAACCCGACCTAAACCTGATAAGATGTATGACCCAACATAACCCGACTCAAGCATGACCCAACCCGAACCCGACCCGTATAGGTTATGACATTAACCTGAAATGACTCGATCCGAGTTGACCCGACCCACATTTATCCAACCCAAACCTGACTTGTTTACCCGAATTGACAGCTCTATAAACTATATATTCTGTGCTAAATCCATTTGTTGCTTTCCTAAGCTCACTCAAATTGTACTCTCTACTTTTTGCTGCTGATTGTCCCCATCTCCTACTTTTCCAACTGCTGCACACATTTATATTACCCTCATTTTAGCAGAAATCAGTATAAAAAACAACAAATTCATCAAAATTAAAGCAATTCTCATAAAATAAATCACAAAAAAAAAACTGGATATTTATAGATTATATGCAAATGGTTGAATAATCAACAAGCCGGCCAAAATAATAATAAAATAAAAAAAAAAAAACTCTATAGTTACCAATTTGAAATCAACTGAAATGAACAAACCCAAAAAGATTAAAGCAATACCCAGAAAAATTAATGGAGAAATAAAAGTGGGAAAATCAGAGTAAAGAAGAAAAGACCCGAGATTTGCTTGTCGGATTCAGGGAGAGGAGTGGCGTCGTTTGGAGAAGCAAGGAGTGTCGTTTTGGACTATATGCAACCCATAACTTCTTTTCACATTATCAAATAAAGATACAAATAGGGAATTAAACGATTAATTAGATTGAAATTCAACTAAAAATTAAAGGTAGTGGGTACTAAAATGGATATACCCATTTTAGTAAAGGGTAATTCTACCCATATAAAGCCCAAAGGGCATAAAAAGACCCCAAATAAGTCAAATGCACTAACATGGCCCATAATGGCCCATATGCGTACTACTAGGGTCCACTAATACCCACCATGCACTAATATTAATACCCCTCAAGGGGCCAAAGGTAAAGGGGATCTATCTTACATTAAGATGACTATCCTCCTTTCTCTTTCTCCAAAATACTCTCAAGATATGCATTGTTTGCCATCTAACTTGGGAGTCGGAGGCTTTGTCCCGGGGTCAACCCCTGGGGCTCGGGGTTCATTTTGCAGGTCCATTCGAGGCCCAAATACGAGGTCCTCAAGTAGTCCTCCAAAGTCCAGTTAGTCCATTTTTTGCCGAAACGGAAGGATTGTTTCAAATTTCAAGTAATTTCAAGTGAAAAACAAAGCAGAAAAATAAGAAAAATTTGCAGAAGGAAGAGACAGTAAGTGAATGGGAGGAAGAAGTGGTAAATCTGTAACAAAGTGAATAGGTGAGAGAAATAGTAGGAGAGAAAACGGTAAATCCTTTTTTTCGATTAAAACGTTTTTTATTAATTAACTTAACGTTTGATTAACGGTTTGCTTACTGTAGTAATTTAGTGATAATTATGAGTGTACCACTGATAATGAAAACTTAATCAAGTGTATCAAAGATAAAAGTCAAAACTTGGAGTGTACCAGTGATAATTTCCCTTTTTTATTTTGATGGGATGTTTGTATAAGTTAACGAACACAAGTTTCCCTTAGCTTTTTTAATGTGTTACGGTTTGATTAACACTTTCGTCCAAACTCAAAAACTAGGTTTAACTAATTTTTATTTATTGAGGTTAAATATTAGGAAATTTTGTTTAAAATCATTTTATAAAAGACAAATTTTGTTGAAAAAAAAAAATATTACTTGTATAAATTTTTTTGTTGTCGAATCACACCTGTTTTTAAAAAAAAAAAAAAATTTAAAGTCTCACCACTCTCCAAATTCCGATTGAGTGAATAATCCAACATTGACCTTACACGTGCAAGTCACGTGACCTAGTAACTCCTCCCCTTTCTTATTTTCCCCCCTTTTTCCTCCATTCTTTCCTCTCTCGGCTTCGCATCTCTTCATCGACCCCAATTGTAGCACATAGTGACTTAAACTTCACCATTGAAGCTCAGATCTTGCGCATCAAAATCGTATCAAAAGCAAACACCAGATGCAATTTAGGCAAGTACTCCCACTCCTCCACCTTAATTCCATAAGACACAAATTGATGAAACTTATATTCACACACAACAATTGTTCTTTGAAGAGATAGTGATGTTCTGGATTTTAATTGATCAACATCAAGTACAAATTGGAGTTTACCAGATCAGAAGATAAAAGATTGGGATTGAGAAGAGTCGTTTTGCATGTTAGGATTTTGGTGAGTTAAGTGTTGGCGCCGACGACGAGGAGAAAAGGAGCATGAAATTGGGATGACGGAGCTTTTGGGTTGCCATTGATGTTATAGTTGAGGTTGGAGTATGGAGAATAGTACTGAGCTGTAGAGGCTGAGGTAATGGCGGAGTGAGTTGTGGAGTTTGCTGCCATTGGAGGTGGAAGAGAGAGTGAGAAGGTTGGTTGGTTGTTACAGTGGAGCGAGAGAGGTTAAAGGGAAAGAAAGGGAGGAGTTTACAAGGTCACATGACTTGCACGTGCAAGGTCAACGTCGGGAAATCCAATTAATGGTCGAAACCCATGGAGTGGTGGGACTTTACAAAAATTAAAATAGGTGTGTTTTGACATATATATATATATATATATATATATATATATATATATATATGTCAAAGCACACCTATTTTAATTTATATTATTAATCTCACCGGATCCCGATTCCTATATAGGGGGAGGGATCTGGTGAGAATAGGTCCATATGTGAGAATTCATACTTATGTGAGAATAGGTCCATCATATCGCACCACCGATACCAACACTTCATCTCCCCTCACCACTTCTCAAAGCTGCCCTCACCCTCAACCACTGCCAGTGCCCAACCACCATAACATCGAGCCACAAACAATAACAGCCCACAATGACCATATAAGACCCAAATCGATTTTGAAGAGGGTGAGTAGTTGCAGTCATATTTTCGAAGGGGGTGGATGGTTTATGTTGGACTTTCAAAGAAAGTAAGCGGTGTGGGCAAGATTTTTTAAGGGAGTGGGTGGTGTGAATTTTGAATGGAATGGGTGGTGTGGATTCGAATGGAGTGGGCGGTGTGGGTCAAATTTTTTAAGAGGGTGGATGTTTTTTGGGCTAGGGTGGATGGATTTAGGTGGAGAAGAGGTTGATTTTAGGTCGAGGGTTGGTTTTGGTGGGTGGGGTTGTTTTGGTTGGGTGAGGTAGTTTTCGGTTGAAAGAATGGTTATCAGGCTAGGTGGGTGGTTTTGTGATGGTTGATGGGTTTTCAGAGGTGAGGTGGGTGGTTTCCAGTTAATTAAGGAGGATTTGGGAATGGTTGGGGTAGTTTTTGGGGGCCATGGTGATTTACGATGGTGGATGGGTTGGTGTAGTGTTTGATGTGGTGGTGGTGGAGGTTGTAAAATGTCGTGGGCAAGGCCATATATAATTTAATCATTAAGGTTAATCATGATTTTATTTGAAAATGAAAATTAACTCAATAAGGTTATAAGATAGAGTAAAATTTTAATTAGTTCATTTTTCTGAAATTAGTAAAAAAAAAAAAAAAAAAGTTAACCAAATTTAGGTAGCAAAAATTTATGGATCCATGTAGAATTTCTTTTATTTATTATTTATTTATTTGTGTAAAGAGAGTCACAAGGACAAATGATGTAGACGGGACTTGATCACAAATGTTGTGTACCACCCTTCAAGACTATCATCCACATTATAAGTGCTTTTTTGATTGACATGTAATTATGGAAATTAAACACCTTAGGAAGTCGTATTCTTAAATTTGTTGAAATTCCCATAAAAATTTATTGACAAAAAGGGAGTTTGGTAGTAATTTATTTTATTTTTTTATTTTATTTTTATTTTGTTTGTGAGACTTTGAAATTCTAATAAATTCCCACTTCATCCATTTTTGCTTTTTTGTGTTAGCCAAACAACTATTCAACTTGCCAATTCTTATGAATTTTCACTTCTATGATTATATGAGTCAACCTATATTACACGGACTTGTTTAGGAGTGCCTGCAACACCCCGACCCCAAACAAATTAGGGAGGGGCCTATTGTCACGAAATGCGCATCAAGGGCCAACAACTGTCCTCATAGACCAACACAAGTCCTTTCGGCGCATTTTGTCCTCACTCATGCGCATCCTGGAAAAACTTCCTAGGAAGTCACCCATCCCAAGACTACTCCTAGTAAAGCACGTTTAACTGTGGAGTATCTTAGCATATTTATTTTTTTTTTTTGTTTTTTTTTAGGGAAACTGATAGTGCATTTAATTAATTGAAAGATTATCCATCAAAACATACGGGGAAATCTCGTTCGGAACCAGATATTCCCATAATTGCTCACTACCATACGACACTATCCTAGCAAGATGATGAGCCATATAGTTCCCATCTCGCTTTACATGAGACCAAAAGATGGAGGAAAGAATCGAACTAGCAGATATAATATCTTCGAGGATGCTGTCAACTACCGCCAAGGAGAAAGACTTCCTTTTCAGCTTCGAGGCTAACAACAGGGAATCAGTCTCTAGGATAACATCCCTAAAGCCATGGTCAGTTGCTTTCTTCACCCCGAACCAGACTGCTTTGCTCTTTGCTACAATAGGCTCCCAGCGAGCCCTGACTCTTCGAACTGCCGAAAACAGGATTTGGCCCCTACAATCTCGAGCAATGGCTCCCAATCCCACCCAACCTTCCATCGAAAGGGCTACATCAACGTTGATTTTAACAACACCAGGGGGGGAGGCGTCCATATTGATCTTCCAGCAGGTTCAATTGAGGAAGGAACCCCACCATAAATTCGCTCAGTGTATTCTCCAAAGTCAGCCACTAGTCTGTTGTGCTTGAGGAGAAGCTCTCGTCTGCTTCCCATTCCCTTTCAAAGGTCCATTTGTTGCGGCGAAACCATAAGAACCATGCAAGAAAAAGGCTTTTTTGGTACACTTCTGTCGAAAGGTTCTTCTCCCAGCTTAATAGAGTGTCTCCAAAAAATTCGTGGGAAGCTAGGTTGAGTGCTTCGTGACAACCACTTCTCTCCCATAGTTGGTGGGCACTGGGGCAATGCACTATTGCATGATTAATCGTTTCACGCACAAAGCCACAGCAGGGGCATGAAGGATCTTCAATTAGATGTCTGGTTTCCAGAGTACTTCGAGTGGGAAGAGACCTTGAGCAGCATCTCCACAGGAAGTGACAGACTTTCGGGGTAGCCTCTGTCTTCCATAGTTCCACACTGTATTGCTCAAAGTCATCAAGTGCAAGGGAGGAGCCTAGATTGTAGGTTGTTTTCACAGTGTAACACCCGTCCTTCGACCATGCCCAAGTAAGGGTATCCTTCGGCATTCTTTCACTAATTGGGATAGCTAGTATGGCCTGCTTGTCTCGATCATTGAAGGTGATTTCTATCTTGCTCAAATCCCAGCAACAATGTTCTTTATCCATCAACTCAGCCACAAGCGAATAAGTGCTCGTTCTGTCGATTGTGGTAACAAAACGGCTCTTGTCGTCTATGACCCAAGGATCATTCCAAATGTTAATGTTGCATCCATCACCTACCCTCCATAGCATGCCTTCCTTCACAAGAGCTTTAGAGCTCCACAAGCTCCTCCATGAGTAGCTCGAATTCGGTCTAAGGGCAGCCTCAAAAATAGACTTGCGTGGGTAATATTTGGCCTTGATCACCTTGCTCACAAGAGATTGGTCGTTTGTTGCTAATCTCCAAATTTGTTTTCCAAGAAGTGCTACATTGAAAACTCCCAAGTCTCCAAAGCCCATACCCCCAAGAAATTTCGGTTGACATAAGGAACTTCAGCTTTTCCAATGAATCTTCCGACCCTTCTCGTTGGATCCCCACCAAAAACGTGCCATCATGACATGTATATCATGAATTAAGCTTTCTGGGAATTTATATACACCCATGAGATAAGTCAGAATGGCTTGAATCACCGATTTGAGAAGAATTTCTTTACCGGCTCTAGACAATAGCTTCTCCTTCCAACCTTGAACCTTCTTCCAAATTCGGTCCTTGACGAAAGCAAAAACCGCTTTTTTCGACCTCCCCACCACAGTTGGTAAACCAAGATATTTGACATGGTTCTCAACCATGTCCATGCCAAGAATAGAATTGAGAGTGATCCTAGATGGTAGCTGGACCCCTTTACTAAAAGAAACCTCCGACTTATCCAAATTAATTTTCTGACCGGAAGTTGCTTCGTATTTGTTGAGAATATCAACAATGACTGAACATTCCTGTCGGGTGGCTCTAGTAAATAAAAGACTGTCATCTGCAAAAAACAAATGAGTAATCTTCGGCCCATTCTTGCTAGCCCTAGCACCATGGATCATTTTCTTCTCCGAAGCCGCCTGTAACATTCTAGATAAAACATCACCAACCAAATTGAATAGGTAAGGGGAAATAGGGTCTCCCTGACGGAGTCCTCTAGACGGTATCAACAAGTCTGAGGGGACTCCATTGATGATGAAAGAATATCGGACAGTAGAGACAAATGTCATGATCGTGTCAACCCAGGCTCCAGCAAAGCCTAACTTTGTCAAAATTCTCCTCAAAAAATCCCATTCCACCTTATCATAGGCTTTACTCATGTCCAATTTCATTGCAGTCATCCCACAACGGCCTTTAGATCTCTTCTTCATTGTGTGAAACAGTTCAAGGGCAATTAGAGCATTATCAGTAATTAGACGTTTAGGAACGAAAGCACTCTGATTTTCCGTTACCATGGTCTGGAGGAGAGGCTTGAGTCTATTGGCCACTGATTTAGAAGCTAGTTTGTACAACACATTGCAGAGAGATATCGGTCTAAATTGGGAAATGCAAGTAGGGTCTTTAACTTTCGGGATAAGAGCGACATTAGTAAGATTTATATCATGTAATGGAATTCTACCAGAAATGACATCATTAACAAAAGTAGTTACATCATCACCTACAATATGCCAGTATTTCTGATAAAATATAGCATGTAACCCATCCGGCCCCGGGGCCTTGCATGGACTCATTTGAGTGAGGGTAGAAAAAACTTCATCTTTAGGGTATGGGCGACATAAGGACCGATTCATACCTTGTGACAAAGGCTGGGACTGTCTCCAGAATCTCCTCTGTTAGAGCATCATCTACATTGCCTCTAGTAAACAAGGAATTATAAAATTTCAGAATGATTTTTTCAACTTCGTGCTTCCCTGTTTTCCAAACCCCTTCATCATTATTAAGGCCTTTAATGTAGTTCTTGCTTCTTCTCTGAGCCGCTTTATGATGGAAATATTTAGTGTTTCGATCCCCATCCTTGATTTCGGACACTCTTGATCTAAGAAACCAGTAAGCTTCATTTTTCTCGTGAAGGTCATTAAGCATGCCTTCGAGTTTATCACACTCGGCAAAGTTGAAACTGGACCTCACCTTCTGTTGTGCTTCTTTAAGGGCCTCTTCTGTCTCAGCAATTTGTTCTCCCAGATTTGCAAAGGCATCTTTACTCCATACAGTCAATTCAGACGCCACATTGCGCATCTTGTTGGGCATGTCAAGGTGGCATGATTCCCTCCAGGCGTGTCTCACAACATCTTCTACTCCCTCAGCAAGCAACCAGCAAGTTTCAAATTTAAACCTCTTCTTCTTTGGTTTCTTTCTCTTGCTCCCTTTGGCTTCCGTATCCAGGAGTATGCCCACATGATCAGACTTAAATTTAGTTAAGTGAGCCACATGAGCCCGATCAAACCAGGCACACCATCTATCACAAGCCACAAACCTGTCCAATCGCTCTCTAACTACCCAGGTTTGTTCATTCCCTCGCTCCCAAGTAACCCAAGATCCATCGTGACCAAGATCCTTCAATCTACAATCATCAAGGACCTCTCTAAAGGCATCCATGGCGCGTTGCTCACTTCGAATCCCGCCCAACTTCTCATCGGAGCTGAGAATCTCATTGAAATCCCCCCCAAAAACCGTTGGGTGGGGGGAATTCAAGAAGAGTTCTCGCATAAGAGACCAAGTATTGACCTTTTGTGCTCTATCCGCCCATCCATAGATTCCAATGAACCTCTACACCCTACCCCCTATCTCTGAAAGATCGCCACAAATATGATGATCCGAATAAGAAACCAAAGAGAATTGAGTACCCTTCCTCCAATACACACACAACCCTCCTGCCTTACCCCTACTTTCAACACCAATGGCCCTATGAAAGCCAAATTTATTTTTTAATTTTTCTGATTTTTGTCTACTGATCATGGTCTCACTTAAAAAGATGAGATCCGGGCTAACGCTACCACTCCAATGTCGGAGTGCTCGAATTGCTCGAGGGTTGCCCGCCCCTCGGCAATTCCAACATATAATCCTCATTGCTTTTCAGGGGGTTGGATCTTAGCATATAAGCTCGCTAAAAGGAAGATACATCTTGTTGGTATAAGTAGTACTTTCTTTGCTCCACAAATATTGCAACAAGGATGAAATTACGCATCCCAAAGCACATTTTATATGCTAAATATCTATCATTATATAAGAGTAAAAATTATAAAAAGTTGATATTGTGAAAGTATTTTACGAAACGAATTTAACTAGACCCCACATGATTATATTTTACTTTACGTATAAATCATAATATGTGGTCAAATAAGCGTGATGAATAGAGTAAAAATCAAGTTATTGCAATAGTACTAGAACGGAGGAAGTATATTAAATCCTTTTAAACCAATCATGAGGGGTATTACAATGCCGGATATTGGTAATTTGGTATGAATCCGAGTATTCGGAAGACACTTTCATAAATTGGAGATACGGGTGTCTTTCTAAGATTTGGACAGGAGTATATATGGGGACACAACATGTTTGTGAATATTTTTTTAATATTACATATATATGTGAGTAGTAATGTAAGTATGAATGTATGATGTGTTAGAAGTGTTACTATCTTGGAAGCTTATTTTATGTGGAATGAATTCAGCCAATTACCGAAATTTGATTCTCTTACAATTTGTACTCGCCACTATTCAACTGCAAATTGCTTCCTTCTAAAACTTTGTTTGAGATTTAAAATTGCCGGAATTACAATCATCGGGATTTCGCGGAATTCGTCGATTCACGTCGCCGTTAATTTATTACAAGGACTTTATGTCCCACTTTTAACGGGTGCCTTTTGATAATTGTACTGCTAATAAGAGGAAAGATTTCCTAATTCCTGCTAACAACAAAGCCTTGGAAACCATGCTTGGTCGGTCTTTGCATTACTACTGCTCAACATGCTAGAAATTGTCGAAAATTTTTCCCTCTAATACCTTCCCCTTTTCTTGCTCAACTGGAATTGAAAATGTCAAAAGTGTCAAGTTGTCATGATCTTAAGCCTTGTGTATCTGGAATTCATGTATCTGAGATGTATGCGTATCTCCTTCTATCAAAAAGAGTAACAAATACGAGTAAGCCCTTAAATATAAATTTCTGACTCGAATCCAATCGATTAATTATCAACTTGTTTTGTCTATGCACATGGTGACATGGTAACACATCAAACAAAAACACCTAACCTTTAAATTTCAAACTATTGTACAAAACACCCCCAAACCTTTACACCATTAAAGTGCACGACCGAACCAAACAACAAGACCATCCAAAACCCAAAAAAAACACAAGATTCTCAAAAACAATTCCTCTCAGATCCAATGGCTTTCCACCACCACCTCCATAACCTCCACACCACCACCAATTCCTTCTGCTGCTGCCCACCTCCCGCACCCCCGTGCCACCACCCAACACCCCCGTGCCACCATCCACCACTATTATCACCTCCTACCTCCGATCCTTTTCAGGTTGCCGCCATTGTTACTCAGCTTCTTCAAACTCAAACCCAAACCCCCCTAAATTACCACCTTAATTCCTCTCGAACCCACAAAAATCAAAAACACCCACATCATAATAATCACGAAAATCAAGATAATTCTTTACTATTATCTCTCCTTCAACGCATCGATGCCCTTGAATCTTCCCTTCAGAAATACTCATCTTCTGGTTTTTCCTTAAGAGATGCTGCTGCTAAAATTATTCAAGCCCATTTTAGGGCTTTTCTTGTTCATAGATCAAGGACTCTTCGTCATCTTAAAGATTTAGCTTCTGTTAAATCTGCTCTTGCTTCTTTTAAATCTTCTCTTTCTCGTCATGCTTTTGTTGATTTTGATTCTCTCTCCCGAAATGCCATGGACTTGCTCCATAAACTTGACTCTATTCAGGTATTTTTCTCAATTTTTATGTTCTTAATTTTATTTTTGTGAGGTGGGTTTTTGATATTTTGCATTTTTGATATCTGGGTTCTGATAATTTTGCCATTTTGATATATGGTTTTTGATATTTAACATTTTAATTTTTATGGGTTGTGAGACTTTGCATATTTGATTTCTGGGTTTTTTTTTTTATATTTTTGCATTTTTTATACATGGTTTTTGATTTTTGTTGAATTTTTGGATTCTGTTTTTTTTCCTCTATAATTAGCATTTTATTCTTTTGGGTTTTTGAGATTTTGCAAATTTGATTCCTGGGTTTTGTTTATAGAGTGGTGATAAGATGATTAGAGACAGTAAGAAGACAGTTACCAGAGAGATTGTTGAATTTTTAGAAATAGTTGATGGGGTTTGTGTGAAGAGGCAACAAGTTTTAACCAGGAAGATGAAGAGCATGAGGTTGGTGAGGAATGATAGTAGAGCTACTCGTGATACTAAGGGGTTTTCGGGGCATAATGTGAGTTCGAAAACTCGAACTGTAGACAATGAGGAAAAGAAACTGATGGCAAATTTGAAAGAGAGAGTTGAAAAGATTGGTAGGATGACAAAGGCGCTTGAGGAGCAGGAGCAAGAGGTCTATGGAGATGCTGAGAACAAAGGATTTAAGCATGTTGATGATGAGGATGATGATATCCTTGATCAAATTGCTACCAAATATAGGCTGAACAATGAATTTAACGTAAAGAAAAATGATCAAAGCTCGAATGCCAAGAAACGTGTGAGTTTTGTGGAGGATGGGAACCTGATTAGGTTAAACGATACTGATGGGGAATCTAGAAGTAGTTCTCGGCTGGTTGACGTGATTGAAGATTCTATCAATGGAACACACGATGAAGAGGAGGCACGAAGTGATGGTGAAGGGTCTTCACAAAGCAGTGAAGAGATGAGAAAATTTAGAAGTGATGAAGTTAATGAAGAGTGTGACAACCAAGAGGAGTTCACATTTTCCACTACCCCAGAACCTGCAACCAGAGCAAATTTCTCGTCGAGGAAACCTGTTGTAAAAATATCTGGATAACATAATGAGTTTGGCTTTCTCATTCAGATTGTTTCTTTGTGACTGCAATAAACAAATCCATTTATCTTATGAATTTGTAATTCTTATGTATTTTGGCTTGTAAGGTGCAATTGTCATGTCTTGATTGGAGTGCTGTTTCATTCTTCTACGCCTGTAGTAGCGTAGTACTGTGTACCATGTATGCTGCCTTGTATTGAAGTTATGAAGGATTCACCTGTAGTATGTTTGTAATATGTGTAGGTTTCTAATCTAATTCATTTTTTATATAATCTTTACTTCTGGTTGTTATTAACAACTTTGCTACACATAGTGTCCAATATGTTATTTTTCTATCACTAACAACTTTGCTACACGATAGAAGATGATCATAGAAAGGTTAGAGTTCTGGCAGTTTGCCACATAATTCATAAACCTTATCGAAGTTGCTTGCGGTTTTGCTGAAAGAGACTTAAGACTATAGACTTATGAATCTGGCTTATCGTCCTTACTGTTGACATACTTCGGCTATAAAGAGTGTTGAAGATTGCATGAAATTTAGCTGGACTAAAGCAGATGGACTGATAGGAGAAACCAAGGGACTTGGCTAGAATCATTGAATCAATCCTGCCTCATTCTACTGTAACAGTGCTGATTCTTGAATAAAGTAGTCCACTCAGTGATAAATCTTGTCGTTGCAATATTGTTCTGATGCTATTATTTGATGTCGGATATTGAGATTTCCTAATGGAGCCTAAAGGTGACCGCAACTAGTGTGTACTTCGTATAACAGTATTTGTTTACTAAATTAGCAATTTGAAAACTTAACCAAGTAGAAATCACTTTAATACTTTGTTGTCCTCAACTTTTAAAAAAAAGTGTCAACACAAATACATAGTAAATAACATTTCACTACACCAAAACCCAAAATAATAATAATAATAATAATAATAATAATAATAATAATAATAATAATAATAATAATAATAATAATAAAAAACTCCTTGGAGTACATATGAAGTCATTTATTCAAAAAAAATATACTAGTAAAAAAAAAAACTCTATGAAGTCATAATGCAAAATTTATGATGTTGAGTTGTATACCCACAAGTCCACAACACAAGCAGATGATATCAAAAGACCCGTACGTATCAAATGCCTTGACATTTAATTCGAACTATGAGTAGTATATGACGTGAACATAAAACCATATGACGAGGCTGATCAACCCTCAGTTAAGTTAAACCACTAATATAAGTAATACAGGCAGATGACAGTAGTTTACTAGTTTATTCTGATTGATGGAAGATAACATCCACTGCAAAAACCTATAATTGATGTGCTAATAAGTTCTACAATCTAATGAAATGCGTGACAAACAAATGATCAAATCCACATCCAAAAACATAGACCTTGCAACTTTCACCACCAGTTCACATATATCAAGAAGACTTCTGCTTTAGCATATATGAGAGTTGGCAAACTCCAATAAATGATAAAGCTCAGAAACCAACAAATTCAAATATACACTTGTATTCTCTCGAATCTTAATCAAAAATCCGCAAAGCCCCCAGCAGGATCAACACTGCAAAGTAGACAAGAAACAATGAGAAATAGGAAGCTCATACCATTTAAGTTGTGAAAGGGAAGCACAAGCATACAGTAATATTCAACAAACATATATATAACAAATACCCCATTCTATATAGTTTGCAAATCATATGGCCTTTATATCATGTGACTCAATTTAACCCTGAAGATTCTCATTAACATGAAGACAAACATAACCCCATAAGCTGTCAGCGTTGAACTAATAATTTAATCATTTATCAATGTTGTGTCACTTCATATACACCTTGATTCTGTGCTTATACAATTATACTACTACCAAATGACCAAGCCACTTAGCCACTAACAGAACTCACCCTCACTACCAAGAAGGAGAGCAACCGTATGAGCGTATGGCATCCCTATTCCCCACCTTAGAATGACACGTACAAGTATATTCATGACAGCTTTCCCACTATGAGCCTCTAACAAGCTGGGCAGAGAACTTTCGGGGGGGTATTGACAGAGTTCCAGTCACCATGGACCCCACCAACATCCCCTATCCCTAGGTAAGACCCAATCCCCTCTGTGAGAAAGGGTGACAAGTGGTCAAGGAGTCAAGGCAGACATCCACATGAGACTTATCAGAGTTATTTAATATACTCTCCATCCCAAGACGATTGCAACATTTGCGTTTTCAAGGTCAACCTTCACAAGCTTTGACCATAAATTTTCACCAAAACATAGGAAAAACCAGTAACGTGACTTGGAAATTTTTGTAATCTTTATCCATACATGTTGATGAGATAAGTAGTCAAAGTTGTGTCCTGCAAGCCATGGAAAGGCAAGTGCTGCAGTTTTTCAATTAAAGAGAGAGTACATTTTAGTATTTTACCTCCATTACTACTCCTTTTATATTAATAAAGAAGGATCATTTGCAAATTCATCTCTACTAATCAGAGGTAGGATTCTGCACTTTGCTCTCTCTATATCACCTAAGGAGGTATCCAAAATGGTTGAGCTTATTTTAAGATCAGAGAGAGAAACATCTACAAATGGGTAAAACCTAAACTAACACAATAGTAAAAAGGTTCATAAAACCCTTAAAAAAATTCAGCAAGTTCAATAAGCTAGTTTAGATACGCTAAATTTTACATATATATCACCTAATTCGCAACTAGTTAAGGCTACGGTTGGGCAAATCTTGACCACCAAAACATCCAGAACAGCTGTATATACTGTGTATTCAGCGACCCATATAGGATGCAACCTTTTTTTGGATATATTTAATAGAGTATAAAATGATGTTGGAAAACAGCAAGGCATAATAATGCTTCTTGCGTTGCATATTGGATAGGGCTGTTCACATTAGATTAACCGTACCGTTAAGCCTTAACGGTACGATTAACCGTTAGATCGGTTACTAAAAAATACGAACCGTAACCGTACCGTTAAGCAACGGTTAACCGTGAACCATTAATTATATTTTAAATCAATACTTTTTGAATGCTTTCCCTAAATAATGTTGGGAATTTCTCTAATTCCCAAAATACAGCCACTTTTTTTTATTCCCACTATACTGTCCACGTCACCGGTTCAGTGGGAAAATTTTTTAAACCGGTTTTTTTTTAGAAACCGCTACTTCAAGTAGCGGTTTTCTTATTAGAAACCACTACTTCAAGTAGCGGTTTGTATTTACTAAGTTTTCTTTTTTACAAATTCACTTTCCCCTTCTCCTCTTCTCTTCTCTCTCTCCGCCTCTCTTCTTTTTCTCTCTCCTCTCTGAACTCCTCTCCTCTTTCCTTCTCTCTCCTCCCTCCTTCTCTCCTCCGCCATTCTCGTCATTTCTCTTCTCCTTCTCACTTCACCTCTCTTCTCCTTTTCCTTCTCCTTCTTACACCAACAACAAAACCCACGCCGCTGCGCAACCTAACACCACCACCACTACGCAACCTACGCTCCTTGGAGGTGTTGTCTGTCTTCCTTCTCGCCGGCGTCGCAAGGTTGTTCAGGTCAAATTCGACCATGAAACCTCTAGATCTAGAGGTTTCATGATTGAATTTGGCCGTATTAAACCAAATTCGATGAGAAATTAACATCCAATTTCGGTGTTAAGGTATGTTTTTTTATTTTTTTAATTTTTGGGTGGTTGTTTGGTTAGGGTTGTAGATCTGGGTTTGGTTTGGGTGTGTTTGGGTGGTGGATCTGGGTTTGGGTGGGTTAAGGTGGGGGTACTGGGTTGTGGTGGTGGTGGTCAAGGTAGACGGTACTGGGTTGTGGTGGTGGTTGTGTCAAGGTAGACAGTTGTGAGCAAAATCGAAAAACACCGCACCTGATTTTGAGCCAATTTTATGGTTTTTCATGCAATAATTCAAGTGACAGCAAATTCAAACAATTTCGAACCAAAAATCAGAAATTCGAGGTTAGCTAGGGTTTCTGGGTTATTTAGCTTTGCTTTATTATTTGGCTTTTTGGTCTAATTTTTCATGTTGAATGCTTTGATTACTTGGGTTTAATTTGATTTGATTTCAATTTAGTTCCACTGTTGGCGATTGAACTTGCAATTCGTATCTTCTGGATTAATTTATACAATTCTAAGTTTTTTTTTTACCAATTTTGTGATGATTTTTTTTTTCTTTTTTTTTTTTTTGTATCAAATCATCTATGTTTCCAGATTTTGGAGTTCATGAACAATTGATGGTAGAGAACTAGAAATCGATGCCTGCACATTTTTTTTTTATATTGTGGGTGGTGGTCAAAAATCACTTTCCCCTTCTTATATTTTACTGATAGTTTTTTTTAAAAAAATTACATCAAAAACCGCTACTTCAAGTAGCGGTTTCTATTTTATAAACTGCTACTTAAAGTAGCGGTGTATGAAATTGAAACCGCTACTTGAAGTAGCGGTTTATACCCTGAACACCGCTACTTCAAGTAGCGGTTTGTTGCTGGACCGATAAAAAAAAACCGGTTTTTTTCCCTTAGCTGACGTGGATGTTAGATTAGGAATTAAAAAAAGATTGGTTGTATTTTGGGAAGTAGATAACTTCACAACATTATTTAGAGAAATGACTCATACTTTTTTGCTCCTCCAATAGTTCCAAGCCTAATACATAATTAAATATAAAAAATAATAAGTTCCAATTAGTTGGATACAAACCGATAAAGATTCTTTTGGAAGAAACTTACATAATTATATATATTTTTTCCTTAAAAAAGTAAATAAAAATATTTTTTTAATCTTAAACCGTTTACTCAAAACTATAACCGTAACCGTTAACCGCTACATTTTACGGTTCGCTTGACCGTAACCGTTTAATTTTAACGGTTCGGTTAATTAACCTATTAAATTTGTCGGTTATACCGGTTAATGTTTATGGTATTTTTTGCACACCCTAATATTGAGGCTCGAGTTACTCAAACAGAAGCTTGTTTGTGCTCCTTTTTCCAACTACACCTTGGCCCCATCGAAGAACACCAAGGAAACATCATTAGAAGGATATAAAAAACAGCATGCGGAAGATTTGCACTCTTATCTGACATCTAACTGTCCCATCACAAATTCACAATCACAGTCTTACTCTTTAGATTAAACAAATATTCAGAACCTTGCTTACACTGTGATCTCTCCATCTCAGTATCGTTGAACTCTCTTTTCCTATTTTAGTTCAGGCAAGACAAAATCATACAAGAACTACCCCTACATTTTATTTCAACTATGGTGTCATGAACACTTACTAGTGCTGAATAA